CGGGGGGGGGGAGAGACGAGGCGCCCGAGGGAGTCCCGAGCACCCTTTTCGATCCTGTGGCAAAGCCTCCATTCCCCGCACCTCTTCCTCCTCCACGTTAATCCGAGCGCGGATCTCGAGAGAAGCCCCGAGTCGGGGGCCCTCAAGGGGAATCCTCTTTTCAGATATTGTAGAATGCTGAACTGTTCATAAAAACCGCCGCCCCTCCTTTTTTTTAACTCTTCTCACGACCTTACAAAGCGGAGCGGGGCATCGCCTCCCTTTCAAAAGCCGGGGCCGGGGAGCACAACTCGCCCGGAACCCCGCGCAAAAGGAAACGAGAAGATGGCTGGCAACTTCTTGCCCGGGAGCCCCACCTGAGCCGTTTGGGGAAGGAACCCTTTGTAGGGGAAAGGAAGGGGGGGAAGAGAGAGAGAAGCCTCGCCCGTGCACACGCGCGGGCCGGGGCGCCCTTACCTTGCTTCGCTCCACAGCCGGTCCGGCAAGCCCGGCGAGGCGGCGCGTTTCCCCTCCATGGCGAGGTTTATTTATAATATTAAAACTGGCAATCAGTGTTCAATTACCAACATTTAATGTCAGTAGCTACAGTAAATGGCTTAAGACACCGAATCCTGGCTTGTTCAATATGGTGTTTTTTACCTGTACTTTAGACATTCAAATCTCTGCTGATTTGACCTACCCCGGGGGGCGGGGAGCGCCGCTCCCTCGCCCGCCAGAGCCGGCCCTCCAGAGCCCCGGCTGGGCGTTCTTGAGTTTTACCCAGAAAGGAGGAAGACCTCCAGGACGGAGCGACCTCCGAAGAAGCCAGAAAACTTTTTTTTGGGGGGGGGGGGATCGCGCGCTCTCTCTCCGCTGCCGGCTTTTGCTAGGGACCGTTCTCATATTCACGCTGCTTTGTCGCGGGGATGTCTCTTATTATCCCTTTGGGAACTTTTTTTTTTAAGTTTTAAGGGCTAACTTTCTTGCGCCTTGGAATCCGTGGACTCTGCGCGTTTGAGTCTTGGTGGGGAATTTCATGTACCGATGCTTCCCCAAGAGCATGTATTATGTGGGACCTGCCACGGCTACTCTAGTTACCAAGGCATATTTTGAACTGTTATTCTCAACATATTTTGAACATATGCATGGTGCCTCTTCTGGCTTTTAAAAAAAAATATATATGGAAGGTCTTTGACTTCCAGATGTTTTTGGCTACAGCTCCCGTAATTCATTAGCAGAGGACAAGATGGGTGGACAATATTACCGAAGCCACCAACATGAATTTGACCCAACTCCTGGAGGCGGTGGAAGACAGGAGGACCTGGCATGCTGTGGTCCATGGAGTCATCAAGAGTCAGACCCGACTTAATGACTGAACAATAACAAATCCATTACTATTGGCCGTGCCAACTAGGAAAGGAAATCCGAAACGTTTATGTGTCATATGTGCCTGAGTATTGGGTAGAACAGATGGATTAACAGCACGACAGATACAAGGCAGCTTCACAGAGGGAACCTCTAGTGGGGAGGGTGGCTGGCAAGAAGGCAGTGCTTCTTGAATCTGTAGGAAGAAGGCAGGCTTATTTTTGTCTGTAACATATTGGAGAGGTCACAAGTCGGTAATAGCTGAACATGCCCTGAAACAAGCTGGACATGAAGTCCTGTTTCAGAATACTGTACAAAAGTAATGGACAACACAAGCAATCATTATGTTAGACCACACAGGGAAGCCATTGAAATCCACAAATATCAGCAAAGTTTCAACAAAACAGAAGAAAGTCTAAGACTCAACAAAGCCTGGCTCCCAGCACTGAAAAATACAGCTTGCGAAAAGGTCAACGAACTCTACCCATCCACAAGGACTGTGATCCCTGCACACAAAAGACTAGCTAACAACATCCATCAATCACAGTGACAGATCAGCTCCACCCC